AGAAATTATGTCCCATCTATGTGTGATCTGTCAAAGTGCATAAATGCATTCTACTGTCATGTCTAAATAATTAAAACAAATTTAAATTTTTTTTAAATTATTAGCAATCAAAACAGCCTGCCCTAATTCAGTTTCTATTCCCACTTCTGTGTATCTTATAATGATATATGAAATTACAGTTAAGGCTCATGTACATTATCTGAAATAAGATGATTCTCTGCAAAAAATAAAATCCATTTCAACATGAAATGCTCCTATCACGTATGTACATTGAACAAGTGAGGAGATTTGGGACAGAAAGGTATCATTTTGAGGGCCCCCACTTACTCATTCGGTGACATAGATGGCTTCTGTGGGATTTTGTGATGCTGCAACCAACTTGGAAAACAGAGGAGAAAAAACCCATCACAGAGACCACCCCACATGGGATTCAATGAAGCAGTTGTCTCCAGAGCTACATAATCCTACATCGGAAATTCTCTACATGAACAATATTTCTCCTCCTTGTCTCAGTCTATCAGAGTTAGGGTTTCTTTTTCTATGAGAAGCGATGGCATTTCACACAGTGTCCAAGTACCACAAATCAACTTCAAGACACTGACATATTCAATTGATGTGAATTTTATAAATATGGAAACTGAGACGTGTGATGGGGTGTGACCTTATCAGGATGCAGCTTTCCAGGGAACATCTCAGTGATCACCTACCTGAGTGTGAATAGCCACATCATTTGCCTTAGGGTCAGTCTAATTGTGAGAGGTGCAACACACGTGGCCCTAACCATGGGATCAAGCTGAAGATAGTCTCTAGACATGATCTTGACCTTGCACACATCTTCCCCTGCCCTACCAGCCTTCAACAACTCTCCTTATTCTGAGACTGATCCATAAAATATCACTAATATTCAACCCCCCAACCCAGGTTGCATTTGATGGACTCAAAGCAATTACACAGAGATTGAAGACTGAAATAATTTTTGCAAACATCATAAACAATGAGAAATATGAATTCTGAGTACAAATGCACTTCAACATCTTTTCCTCCCAACCACAGGATCTGGGGAAGCTACATTCTCCACGTGTCACTATTCACCTCCTCCAACTTCCCTACTTTTCAGAAGGTACCACATTCGCTAAAAATATTTATGATTTGCTAAAATTAGACCCCCTCCTTCAGGGTCTGCTTTTTTTAAACCAATGCAAAGCATTCGTGTTTGGAGAATTGAAATCCTGAGTCAAACGTCAGAGAGCAAGACAAAAAGCAATGGGAAGTTGAAAGAGAAGCTATATTTTCTTGTCATTTTAGAAGGATGTGGAGACAGAAGCATCAGGCATGTTGGCACATCATAAATCCCCTCACTTTGGCTGACTCTAGAAACACGAGTCTCAAGCGATCGACAGATCATAGAAAAGAAGCCAGTTTTCCCATGAGGTTCTTCAAGGCTTTCTTCATGTCCCTGTTCCTCAGGCTGTAGATGAAGGGATTCAGCATCTGAGGGACCACAGAGTACATCACTGAAGCCACTGCAGTCTTCCTGGGGGAGTCATTAACTACAGAGCTAATGTATACCCCCAAACCTGTCCCATAGTACAAAGACACAACACACAGGTGAGACCCACAGGTGGAAAAGGCCTTGTGCTTTCCTTCTGCTGAGGGCATCCTCAAGACAGAGGACACAATGTGAGCGTAAGAGAAAACGATCCCAGAGAGAGGAACACCAGCAAAGATGCATATTGCAACATAGATCAGAATGTTATCCACTAGGGTGTCAGAACAGGCCAGCTTGATGACCTGAGCGAGTTCACAGAAGAAGTGGGGGACCTCGAGGTCTGTGCAGAAGGACAGCCGCAGCACCATCAGACTCTGCAGGAGGCCGTCCACCATGCTCATGGGCAGAGAGACCAGGACCAGCAGGACACAGAGGCGGGGGTTCATGATGACTGTGTACCTCAGGGGGTGACAAATGGCCACATAGCGGTCATAAGCCATCACCGCAAGCAGACAATTTTCCATGAGTGCAAAAATTATGACAAAGCAGGCTTGGGAGAGACAGCCTGTGTAAGTGACGCTCTGGTCCTGGGTGTGGATATTTTGCAGCATTTTGGGGACTGTGGTGGTGCTTAAGCAGATGTCATTAAAGGAAAGATTACAGAGGAAGAAGTACATGGGGGTGTGGAGGCGGGGGTCAGAGCTGACCACCAGGATGATGAGCAGGTTCCCCAGCACTGTGACCAGGTACATGGACAGGAACAGGCTGAAGATGAGGGGCTGCAGAGCTGGGTCATCTGTCAGTCCCAGGAGAAGGAATTCTGAAACCGCTGTGTGGTTTCTGGGTCCCATGTCACTGGTGAATCTGAAGAATGAAGCAGAAGGATAAAAAATGTGTGCAGAGCTCAATTCACAATAGCTCAACTGTGGAACCAACCTAGGTGTCCTTCAACAGATGAATGGATAAAGAAACTGTGGTATATGTGCACACTGGAATACTACTCATCTTTAAAGAAGAATGAAATTATGGCAATTGCCAGTAAATGGATGGAGAATATCATGCTAAGTGAAATAAACCAAATCCCCCCAAAACAAAGGCTGAATGTTTTTTCTGATATGTGGATGCTAATTAACAGTAGGGAGGGGAGAGGTAAAAACAGAAGTACTTTGGATTAGGCAGAAGGGAATGAAGGGAGGAGGTAGGAAGGATAGTAGAGTTAACTGGACATTATCCTATGGACATACATAATTACACGACTAGTGTGATTCTTCAAATTTACAACCAGGAGAATTAGAAGTTATACACCATTTATTTATCATGTGTCAAAGTGCATTCTACTGTCATGTATAACTAATTGGAACCAAAAAAATGAAGATCTTTCACTTGCACGTACACACACAAAAAAAAAAATGTGTGCAGAGCAGGAACAGTATTTGGAAAGATTATAGGAATGAAGGCACTTTCTTTGTCCCTACTTTGTCCCCACTCCAGATTTACTAATAATACATGCTGAGGAGGAGGATGGTAGTATATATTTCAAGAAGCCCTCTAAACGGCTCCGATGTATGCTGAATTTTGAGAACGAGTACCTTAAAAACAAAACCTTTCTGATAGTTACTGTGAACTCAGTGTTCACATGTCTCCTCTACCGCTTCTCCATCTCCTCTTCTTCACTCATCCCTCCTTTTCCCTTCATGCCCTTTATTTAAATAAACTTTTATTGACCACCAACACCGCTTCATGCATCATCCTGAGTATAGAGAATGAAGCCAAGAAAACTATATAGTTTCCATTCAGGATTTTTCTAAGCCATATAAAAAAGAATGGAATTTTGAAATCTGTCTTCTAAAGAAATGGTTCCATGACTGTGGCTTGCTTCAGAATTGTCTCAGGAGTTTTTTGTTGTAGACGTCTCATTCCCTAATATCTTTTCCACTTACCCCTGAGGACCCTTAGGCAAGGGTCATGGATGTAAGACCCACCCTGGGTGCTTAGCTCAGACTGGGGCCAAGCTCCGATAGTCCAAATGCTGGGTGGACTCTGAATCAGTCTCTGTAAATGAGATTTACAGTACAGAATGCTAGCATTCCTGCATGCTTAGTCAGGTCTAATAATTTTTCTTTGCAATTTTAACGTTTTCTTCCTGATCAAATTCTCTAGTCTTTCCCTTGTCTTCAAAGTATGTCCATCTCTGGGGTAGATGGCACCCGGCCCTGTTATCTGAGGAAGACAGAAAATTCAGTCTCTATTCTTGAGTTCGCTGAACTATTCCACAGCACTGAATGTCATTGTTTTTGGCCATTAATCATAAGGGCAGAGAGGCTCCTTAATCTCTTAAATTCTCTATCTCATCCCAAGAGAATTCTCTTAAACTGATAGATGACATATAAATTTAATATATATATATATAATATTTAATATTTAATACATAATATATATATTATACACATACACTAAAGGACAGAAAAGTGAGAATGGACATCTAAGAAAACAGGTCAAAATATAATGACTTTATGATACTCAGAGAAAAGAACTTTATAAGATAAATATAATTATAAGAACATCAGGGTCCAACTAGGAGCTTACTACAGAGCCATGGTCTCTGTCCTCCGAGGGAGACAAAAGATGCCATGACAGCATTTACCGTGTGGTGCAGTCTTGGTCCTACTCACTTTGAATGCCATCCAGACTTCATCACATGCTTTGTGAAGGGCAAAGACATCAACTCTATGAGAAGCCTGAGGTTCTGTTTGTGTGATAGGAACTGCACGTTGGATATGCTAATCAACTTGGCGGTGGTCAGCATTTTGCAAAATATACAATGTGCACCTGATCGTCTCATTGTACACCATGAACACACACAAATTTTATTCAATTTTGCTCTATGAAGGTGGAGAAAAAAACTGGGAATATTTCATGATGAGAAACACCTAGAACAAAAGTACCCAGCACAGTGATCTCCACATGGGACTCTCATACTGATATCTTCTATTGGTTTCTCTTGACTGTCATAAACTAGTGACCTTGGAAGTATCCGTTTCTCAGAGAGAAACAATGTGTCTGGGAAGCTGAGAAAGGCAGAAAGCAAGGAAACAAAACTAGCAAGAGAAAAACAAATATCAGAGAGGTGCTTCATGGGCAAAAGTCCCTCGGGGGTAATGGTCATTTAGAAAAATAGGAGGGAAACATGAGAGATTACGATATTTATTTGGCATGGGCAAATGACAAAATACATACAAATTTAAAATCAAGTGACTTTGAGCAAAATCGATCAGACAGGGTATTAGTTGGGGTGTTCTAGTCAGGAACAGAACCAACCAGACATGGACATGTTTAATCATAAAGGGGGATTTATCAGATGGGCTTACACAGAAGCGAGATAGTCCCACAGTGGCTATCTGCATGCTGGAGAGCCAGAGGGAAAAGTAGCTACTCATTCCAGGAAGCTCGAGCCTCAGATTAAGAGGGACCAATGACACAGGAACAGGCTGAAGCTCTGAGGAGTCCTGGAGAAACGTGGGTGGGAGTCTGTGCTGGAAGAGTGAAGGAATGGAGTCTGAGGTCCCCAAATGATGGAACTTGTATTCACGCAGCTTCCTCCTTCTTCCTCTTGTGTTCCACCTGGGCTTCCAGCCTACTGGACAGTGCTGCCCTCTTTCAGGACTGGTGTCCCCCCTCAGTTTGCCCACCCACAGGTCGATTGTTACTGCAAATGCCATTGGCACCCCCAGAAGTCCCTCATCCTCTACGTTTCCCACATCTCTCAATCCAAAAATCAAGGTGACAATTCAGATTTAATATCACACTCAGAGAAAAAGTGTCATGTTTTCTCTCATGTGGATAAAGAAGAGAGAAGAAAGGAATGATATCATGAAAGGAGAAGGGTGACCATTAAGGTAGAAGGAGGGTGTCACAGGGAGGGAGGAGGAGAGAGTGTGGGGAGGTGTTGGGAAAGAAAATTGATCAAACAGTGTTTTCACGTATGTGTGAATGAGCAACAAGGGAATCCACCATTCTGTATAGTGGATATGCATCAATAAAATGAACTAAATCATAAATAAATTAAAATTGCTATTGTGTGCATATATGAATGTGAAATAATTATAATGCAACAATTTTTTTAAATGAAAGTGAATTAATTAAATATATGAATCACACTTCCAAAGCATTAACTAAAGGAGCTACCATTACCTTGCTGGATTCAAGAAGAATGTTGT